TACTATATAAAAAGGGCAATCTCAGAGGTATTGTAGAGGCAACAATGGATTCTTCCACTTTGTCGCACTGTAACTTTTTATTTTTTTAATTGTAGGAGTAAAAACGACGTCGTTTGTCTTTAATTATTTCTCTATTTTCACATTCCACTACCACTGTAACTATCACTTTCATTGTAATATTTCTCCATCTTCACACACTACTTCACATCATCTAATCCAACTAATAAAAAAAAAGAAACTGAATGATTTAACGAATTAAACAATAACAAAATTACAGGCAAAAATAAAAAGAAACAAAAAAAAATTATTGTAAAGTTTTTTTAATTTTATTGAAATGATTAAAATTAAAAATAAATATTATTTAATTAAAATTGAAAGAATTGCATTTTATCATTAAAAAAAAGTAAAAAAAAATTTTAAATTGAAAAAAAAAAGAAATTTTAAAACAATGGTAAAAAAAAAAAAATAATAAAAAAAAAGAAATTTACGAAAATTAAATAAAGAATACATAAATATTATTTAATTAAAGTTAAAAAAAATTAAGTTTTATCGTAAAAAGAAAAGAATTGAAAAGAATTTTTTTTAAATCGAATTATTTATATATTCTTTCAAAAGAAAAGAATCATTTATATATTCTTTATTTAATTTTTGTAACTTTCATATATTTTTTTATTATATTTTTTAAAAAATTGTTTTAAAATTTTTTTTCTTCATATTATAAGTAATTTTTTGTTCAATTTTAAAATTCTTTTTTATTTTTTTCGTTTTATGATAAAATGTAAATTTTTAATTTTAAATAAATAATATTTATTTTAAATTTTAATTATTTCAATTCAATTAAAAAACTTTACAATAACTTTTTTTTCGCCTGCAATTTTTTTCTTTAATTTGTTAAATCATTTAATTTTTTATTCGTGTTGGTGGAAAATTATAGTTACAAACTAAATGATTTAACAAATTAATTGCAGACAAAAATAGAAAAAAAATTATCATATATTAAATTGAAATAAAAATAAATATTATTTAATTAAAGTTGAACAAATTACATTTTATCATAAAACGAAAAGAATTTTAGTTTTCAATTATTTCTCTACTTCAATTGTAATATTTCTCCATTTTCACACACTGACTACTTCGCATCATCCAATTTAACTGATAAATAAAAGAAGCAAAATGATTTAACAAATTAAACAATACAAAAATTAGGGGCAAAAATAAAAAGAAACAAAAAAAAGTTATTATGAAGTTTTTTAATTAAATTGAAATAATTAAAATTAAAAATAAATATTATTTAATTAAAATTTAAAAATTTGGATTTTATCATATAAAAATAGAATTAAAAAAATTTTAAATCGAACAAAAAATTATTAATAATATGAAGAAAAAAGAAATTTTAAAACAACTTTCCAAAAAAATATAATAAAAACAAAATAAAAGAAAGTTACAAAAATTAAATAAATAATATATAAATATTTTTTCATTAAAATTAAAAAAATTATGCTTTATCGTACAAAGAAAAGAATTAAAAAGAATCTCTCCATCCACAGGGAGATATTTGTGGGATCCATCCCACTGTGTGTGTGGATGGAGAGATTTCTCTCCATGAGAATTTTTTTTAATTTATTTTGTTCATATTATAAATAAATTTTTTTAATTTAATTCTTTTCTCATCATGATAAAACTTAATTTTTTTCAATTTTAAGTAAATAATATTTTATATATTCTTTCTTTTATTTTATTTTTATTATATTTCTTTGAAATTTGTTTTTTCTTCATATTATAAATATTTTTTTGTTCGATTTAAAATTTATTCTTTTTTGTTTTATGATAAAAACGTAATTTTTAATTTTAAATAAATAGTATTTATTTTTTATTTCAATTATTTCAATTTAATTTAAAAACTTTACAATAACTTTATTTTTTTTTTAAATTATTTAATTTTTTTTTATTCGTGTTTGTGTAAAATGATAGTTACAAACTTAATGATTTAACAAATTAATGTCTATCTTTTTATATAGCTATTATTTTTCGTTCCCATCATTAGATATTATTGTAAGAAATCATGTCTATTTTTTTATATACAAGTAAAAAAAATATATAAAAAAATAAAATTGTTGTAATAAGAGACAAGAACCCAAAAGAAAAAAGGAATAAAGAAAAAACCTCTCTGTGACATCACGAAGAGTTGTCTCTACGTGACACGGAGAGACAAGGAGTGTGTCATGGCCACTCTCCGTGACACGAAGTGGAGAGACAAATTTTTATCCAGATTAGACCCACGCTAGCCGCATTTCTCTCCATTATTACAACCAAAACTGCGACTGTCATTTCCACTGCCACCATGGCCCCATTACCTGATGCCCGAATAAGATTGACGCCGAGAGCAAGTGGAGGTCGAGGTGGTGCATGCACTGCAAGCCCAATTCCAGATGGAGGTGGAGGATGAGGCCAGTTCTCTAGTGGTTCACAGCCCTATGACTTTTTTTTTATACTTTTGAAAGAAATTATCATAACATTCAACAAGATATTACGTGTTTTAGCTTATAGAATTAGAATCAGAATCAAAATCAGAATAATAATAGTAATAATAATATGCCATTTCCCCACTATCAGAAAATGGGTAATGAGAATAATTGCAATTAAGGAACCAAAAAAAAAAAAAGAATTACAGGCAAAAAAAAATTTAGGAAAAATTGCATCCGAGGTATCAAACATTTCGTTTATTAGCAGACTTTGCCCAAACCTTTAGTTTGTGCCACCGGAGATACCAAACATTTAAAAAATGTGTAGGGCCAGTCCAAAATGACGGTTTCCTTCTATTTGACCGCCAAAACCGTCAATTGACCCCTTTAATGATAATTCCAAGAATTTTCCTCAAATAAGTGAAGGGCAACATGGTCATTACACACATATCCCTCCTCAACATCAAACACGTCAGCTGCAACTTCCTTCCACTCACCATCCACTATGAAACCTGCGAAAACCCACGAAGAAGACGAAACGGACTTCGAAGAAGACGAACATCCAGTGAACATTGCAGCCCACATTCGAGGCTCTCTTCCTCAACCCGTGTATGGTAAGTGTCTTCCCCTGTTTTCGGTTTACGGTGTGAAGTTGTATGATAATGAAGTTCCCCTGTTCGATTGTGTTCACGTACTGGGAATTCAAAAATTTTAAGTGATTTGGTGTATTAGAGCGTAATGCTTGTGTACTATCTTTTCTGCACATGTTCGCTGCTCGAACTGAAAAGGGCTAGGGCTTAACTTCCTTTTTTTCGGTGTTTTTTCAGGGGAAAAGTCAAAGTACTTCAGCATACGGCTTCATCATGGTGGAATTTTATTGCAGAAGATGAGAAATTTTGTGTATGAGCATGGGAAAATAAGTTATATAGACTATATCGACCCTGATTTCTTCAATAGATTTCTTTTGGACAATGCCGTGAAGATGTTAGGATATTCTGATAGAATTAGATATCTGTACAAGATGGAGAAGAAAAGAATGAGTGAAGGTTCATTTTGGTTGGTTAAAGACTCAGATTTCATGAATTTAGTGAAGTGGCTTGGTGATAATAGGACAGCTGAACTGTATTGCTTGCCTGTAGTTGAGGTTTTGGAGTTGCCTTGGGATGAAACAGAACAGAAGATGTTCAAGTGTTTGATTGTGAGACTGGTGAGGAGTTGGTGAAGGTTCAAAAGTTTGGTGAAGCATTGAATGAGTAGCAACCATGCTATACAATTGAGATTTTTGATGAATCAGTAGAAGGTGATGACGTGTATGTAGTTGATGAAGTGGATGACATGGAAGCAGATGAAGAGGAAGTTTATACAGTGCATGGAACAGAGCATGAGTATACAGAGGTTGATTTTATAGGGGCTGACGTAGACTCACATGAATCAGAAGTGCATGCTGCTGAAACAGAGAAACCACATGATGTTGAACCACAGTTGAGGTTTGAACATGAGTTGCATGACGCTGAACCACAGCAGCAGGCTCAGCAGGAGCTGCATGCTGCTGAACAAGAGGCGTAGGCTGCTGAACATGATGTCGAAGCAGAGGTGCAGCCTGCTGAAATTGATGTGCATGCTTCTGGACCACAGCAGCAGGCTCAGCATGAGCTACATGTTGCTGAACATGATGCCGAAGCAGAGGTACAGCCTGCTGAAATTGATGTGCATGTTTCTGGACCACAGCAGCAAGCTGCTGAACATGAGTTGCATGATGCCAAACCAGAGGTGCAGGCTGCTGAAACTGATGTGGAGTTTGTTGAAGGTCCTAAGCTGGATGATGAATATGAGGAGGGTATTTTGGGAGAGGAATTCACTGACTCGGAGTACGAGCAGGAAGAAAATATTGTTGTGAAGGATAATGATGAAAACATATATTTCAGGTTGAGTGAAGGTTTTGACATTGGTGCAAGTGGTGAGCAGGAAGGTGTAAGGGATGTGCAGGAAGGGGAGGCAGCTGCTGGGAAAGAATCTGGAACAGAATACGAAGACTCCAGTGAGTTTAGAAGCTTACCCAGTGATACCGAGGCTGAGGGATCATCTGCCAGAAGGAAGAATGTGTGCTGGTTTAACCCTGCAACTGATATGAAAGATCCACAGTTCAAGCTAGGTAATGTCCACTGTTTTGTGTAATTCATTTCTGGTTTAATTCATTTGGATGATAATGCATTCTGGTTTAATTCATTTCTGCCAGGGATGAAATTCGACAACGTCAAGATTCTAAGGAATGCAATAGTTCAATACTCAATCAAAAATTCCAGGCAACTGAGATACGTGAAAAATATGAGGACACAGTTGAGAGTTCGGTGTCAAGATAATTGTCCTTGGGTTTTGTATACGTACCAACAACCCGACAAGAGTCTTAGAATTAACATATTTGTAGATGAGCATACATGTACCACGGTGTGGCAAAATAGAAGGGTTAATTCAGGTTTTCTGGCAAAGAAGTACGTGAGAAAATTTAGGTCTGATCCAAACATTCCAATGAGTAGTTTTATGGAGACTGTGAAAGTGGATTGCATGTATGAGATTTCAAAGCATCAGTTCTACAGGACAAGATCGAAATGTGCAGAAGTTATTAACGGGATTGTAGCTGAGCAATACAAAATTTTATGGGATTACGATGAGGAATTGAAGAGAACAAATTCAGGCAGTACAGCCCAAATCGAATGTTCGGGACATACTTTTAAGAGATTGTACATCTGCATAGGGGCCTGTAAGGAAGGGTTTAAGGCTGGGTGCAGGCCAGTTGTTGGGTTGGATGGATGCTTCCTAAAATCTGCAGAAGGTGGACAGTTGTTGGCAGCTATTGGCATTGATGGTGAGAATTGTATGTTCCCGTTAGTATGGGCAGTTGTGGATGCAGAGAACAAAACAAACTGGCAATGGTTCATAGAATTGTTGGTTGATGACATAGGGATGCACAACCCTCAAGCTTGGACATTCATATCCGACAAACAAAAGGGTTTGGTGGATTCCATAAGTCAATATTGTGAAGGAGCGAAGCATAGGTGTTGTGCTAGATATCTTTATAGCAATTTCACCTTGACACACAAAGGTCTGGTACTTAAGAACCTATTTTGGACTGCAGCAAGGGCAACAACAGTGCCGGAGTGGAAGAGTGCAATGAATGAGTTAAAAGACATGAGTGAAGAGGCTTACAACTGGTTCCTTGAAAAACCTCCTTCCCAGTGGACTAGATCCCATTTTGAAGAGCATTCGAGATGTGATATTCTTCTTAATAATTTGTGTGAGGCATTCAACTCTTCCATTGTTGTTGCCAGAGACAGGCCCATCATCTCCATGCTAGAGAAAATTCGGCATCAGCAAATGATAAGGATGAATGCAAAAAGGGAAGCGGCAGAGAGGTGGGATCATGCATTCGGGCCAAGAATTGTGAAAATCATTGAGAAGGCTAAGTCTGAGGCAAGGTACTTGAAGGCAAACTATGCAGGCAACCAGAAATTTGAGATAAGTAGCAGAGACGGTTTGAGGTGGAGCATTGACTTGACAGAACATGCATGTGCTTGCAGAAAATGGCAGCTCACTAGAATACCATGTCCCCATGCAATATCAGGCATGCTTTCAAGGGATATTGGCATATATGAGTACATCAACCCATGGTATAGCAAGGAGACATGCCTGAAATGTTACTCCCCAGTGATCCACCCGATGTCAGGGCCTGAACTGTGGCCGGAATTGGGAAAGCATCCTCTCACTCAACCTCAGAAGAGAAAATAGGCTGGCAGACCCAAAAAATTGAGGAAGAGGTCACAGGCAGAGCCACCTGCAGGCGTGAAGATGGGAAGGACTGGCATGAAGATGACGTGTAAACGCTGTGGAGGGTCTGGACATAACAGAAGAAGCTGTAAGGAGGCACTGCCTGGTGAAGATAGTTCACAGCAACAGTCTCAACCAACCACACAAGAAGATACATATACCAAATCAACAAAGGGGAAGAGAAAAGCACATTCAACGCAAACCTCCAAGTCACAGACAAAGAAGTCCAAGCATAGAGGATCGCAATCTTGAACATCATGTGGTTTCTCTTGTATAGTTACCTTTTTGGGGAAATGTTGTGGTTTTTTGTAAACTGAACTGGAAATATATGCTTCCAATGCTGTGTATTTTGTAGATGTAACTAGAATTTTTGATGAAATTGTTCAATGTGATGATAATGTTGATGTCGAATATCTTGCATTATGTTTCTGCTTTTCATCGTTGGTTTCTGAAATTGTATTCGTAAGATCTGATGTGTAGGCGATTATGAAATATATGAGAATGTTTGATACTTCCTATGAACGTATTATCAAACGTTTGGTACCTTTACTGCAATGTTTTTAAAAGTTTGGTACTCTATCTGAAACAATTAGAAAAGGTTTGGTACTGATTCTGCGAATCGTTATAAGGTTTGGTACCTATGCTGCACCTTTTTCAGATAAGTTTGAAGTGTAATCCGCTCTTTTAATTTCGCATTTGACATAGAGGCAAGGAAAATATCGTTAAATTTCAAGTCAAAATGTACAACACAATTTTTTCCTTTTTACATATGCATTTCACAACATCTAGCACATAGCTCCATTTCGAAACCCTAAGCTCAAATTTCTGGAACAAAAAAACTAAAATCCTACAATCTGACCCTACATACCTAGGAACAAACCCATTTTGCAAACACTCCACACACAAAGCCGAAGAGCCAAATCTTCCACACATTTGGTCTTGTTGCTTGAAGGGTGTCGATTTTAGCTTCCACTTCCCTCCTAACTCGTAATAGACCAGGAATCAGTTCCTTCGATCTCTCACACATCGGAGGGTCACACCACATAAAGAAGGTGCATCCACCCACATCTTGGCTTCGAGGACAAGTGAGAAATCTTCTTCCCGGGTTCAAGTTCGTCCACGAGGTTTTCATCTGCACTGGGGAACCACATCTGCATACATTCCCCTCCATCTTCTTGCTGATTTTTTTTACTACCTGTGAGAGAGAAGGTAGGTAATATATAGTGATAAAGAAATGGAGGGAAATAAACAGTGAAGTATATAATAGGAGGGAAATGTGTGTAATGACCATGTTGCCCTTCACTTATTTGGGGAAAATTCTTGAAATTATCATTAAAGAGGTCAACTGACGGTTTTGACGGTCAAACAGACGGAATCCGTCATTTTGGACTAGCCCCATACATTTTTTAAAGGTTTGGTATCTCCGGTGGCACAAACTAAAAGTTTGGGCAAAGTCTACTAATAAATGAAAGGTTTGGTACCTCGATTGCAATTTTCCCAAATATTTATTGTAAGTTTTTTAATTAAATTGAAATAATTAAAATTAAAAAATATCATTTAATTAAAATCGAAAAAAATTACGTTTTATCATAAAACGAAAAGAATTAAAAAGAATTTTAAATCGAACAAAAAAATTATTTATAATATGATGAAAATAGAAATTTTAAAACAATTTTCAAAAAAATATAATAAAAATAAAATAAATTAAAACAAAAGAAAGTTATAAAAATTAAATAAAGAATATATAAATATTATTTAACTAAAATTGAAAAAAATTAATTTCATCATAAAGAGAATTTTAATTTCAAAAAAAAAAAAATCTTGTGATGGAGATTTTTTTCCCAACATGCATTTCAAACCTATGTTTTTATACTCTGTTTCAAGGAACTAGATGACTTGTTAATAATTGTTAAACTCTAATACAATTTCCTACATGGGAATTTAATCATCTTCCACTTGAAGGGGATTTATTCCCATATACAATCGTTTTACATGTCCCTTAGACCATGCGTAAACTGCAGACAAAATGCCAAAGCTTATATAGTTTATGGCATATTTTTGTTCAAGACTTGTGACAATAAGGAGTCAAAATACAACATATTTGTTCAGGACTTGGTGCATGAGTGAACTTGCTAATTTTTTTTAGTTTATGTTGAGTTCCCGTACATTTTCCAGGGGTTAGTTTATGAGGCCTAGAATTGAGGTTAATAGTTATCCCAGAATATAATTTTGTTTTTTTTTGTTTTTTTGAAATGTGAGTTAACTTTTTTACTTGCTTTGATTTACATGTAGCTTATCTCTAACTCTAAAATTAGATATGATTTAATTATGGGAAGGCAATGTTGGGTGCCTACATCTGCACAGCTTGATATTCTTCAGCGCATATTTGATGGAGGGAATAAATGTCCAAGCAATGCAGAAATTGTACAAATAGTCTCCCGATTATTGTCACATAATCATTTTTCTAAACAAAAATGTTCGCAACTGGTTTAAGAATAGGCATACTGAATCAAAAAGAAAGCAGATGTGTATATAAGCAGAGAATGTTCAATTGAAAAATTTTATGTATGAAATGCAACCTGATTGACGTGTACGAAGTTTCAGGTTAAGAGGTTTGTATTTATCAATAAATTTATCTCGTTTTATCCTTTACACTTTAACTGTATTGCTTTCAATTAGGTTAAATGTATTCGACTTCTTATGGGCTTGATTGTAGAGAATTTAAAGTTAATAATACATATATCTATTTGTAAATTATTTTTCATCATATTTATTTTACTTTGTTGATGGTGTTTATTGTGTCTTCTAACCTTTAGTTTTGAAAGCATGCTGATATGTTTTTTTGTTGTAGTGTCCCTCTGATTTAATTTTTTAGATCAATATTTTGCTCAAGAACGTGCAATCACTGTGGAAGGAATTTGTTCATTAGATGTTTGTGAATGTGCCAATATGCATAAAAAGGTTACAAGTATGATATTGTTCATCAAGTGTTAATTTTGTCACTTTCTCGTACTGTGTGAAATATTGTTTAATGATTTATTGTACATTTATTTTTCCTTAATCTCTATGCATTTTATAAAATAGAACGATTAGTGAATGTTATTGTTCTTATGTTCATTTTCGTCATTATCTTGATTTTTTTTCATTTTTGGGAAAAAAAAATTCATCTCAAACAATAAGGTAATGAATGAATATAACATATATTAATCAAGATTTATTTATTAATAATTAAATAATTAATATTTTTCTATAATTATATATAAGATATATTCAATTATTTATCATTTTAATGGAATAAAACGGCGTTGTTTTGCCATTCAACGTAGGAAATGATATTGTTTTATAATTTAAATGCAGATAATAGGGGATAAAAAGGAAAATGGAAAAAAATGAAGAAAAAAGAAATCTTAAAAAAAATTCAAAAATAAAAATAAAAAACAAAACAAATTAAACAAAAGAAAGTTATAAAAATTAAATAAAGAATATATAAATATTATTTAATTAAAATTGAAAAAAATTAAGTTTTATTATAAAGAGAAAATAATTAAAAAGAATTTTAAATCGAAAAAAAATATTTATAATGTGAACAAAACAAATTTTTTTAAAAAATGAGGAAAAAATCGAAAAAGAAACATATGTGCACCCTGCGATAATGCAATGAACCAAATGACCAGACTTCATAAAACTCTTCGAATCTTCAACAAGTTTTGAAAAATTTACAATTTTGATACTAATAAAAATACAATAAATGCAAAATTCGTGCAACGCAAGTGACAATGACTAGTTATTCTAATGTACTTAAATGTTTGGCAGCAGCCTGCCTACTAAATACGAGAATTTAGTAAATGGTGTTACACGAAATGGTTGACTAAAAACATTTTCATAATTGAAGAAAAATATCAACATTAATGAGAATACCCAAGTTTCTATTGACCAATATAGTCGATAATTGAAATCGAAAGTAAAAAATGTTTTATGTCTCAAAATATTTTTAACATGACAGGCGTTATATTTAGGGGTAACAAACAAGTCAAGTTGCTCACAAGCTCGACTCGGTTTGGAGGTGACCCGATCTTGTAAAATCACGAGGTCATGAGCCAACGGTGGGGTAGTTCGTTTTAATTACTTTCTTAAAAAAACTAGCTCTTGTACCGCTGGACTTTTCTTGTGATGCTTATGAGCCAAAGGATTGAGTTTAGTTTGTGGACACGAGCTAAGCTCACTCATTGCCACCCTAGGTATGTTAGAGAATTTGCATGATAAAGAGGAAATTTTAAAATGCGAATTGAATAGATATGTATTTGCTACCTATATCGAAAAATGATCCAACATTGGCAATCAATTGTTATCAATGACAACTTTGCGAGCGAGCAATCATATGTTGTTGGTGGTCAGTGGTCATTGAACCAACGACATGTTGATTGGCAACGACAGCTATTGCCTAGTGGTAAGTTATTAGAGTTTAGGCTAAAAGATCGACAATCAAGTGTCATGTCGCAAATAGTTGACGCTAGAGATCAACTATTTGCAATACACAAGAACTCTGGATCAACGATGTCAATGACTTGAACTAGTGGTCATATATAGATGGACGACTTTCAAAGTTCAAAATTGATGGTCAACTATTAAGAGTTTGTTTGGGCAATTTTTTATTATTTTTTTTATTATTTTTTATAAAATCATTTTTTCTGAAAATCCTATTCAATCAAATTTTCATCGGACTCATTATTTTTCACTACTTTTTAAATACAATTTATTTTTTACTTAGAAAAATCTCTTCCAAAGAAGCTCTAAATATTATACTTATCCCCTAGTAGAGTTTGTTGTCATTTCCTGTCCTAGAAACTAATTTTAGTTGGTACGTGAGTCTTTTTGATGTAATTTTTTATCCGGAAAGAAGAAAAAGAAAGTTACAATCAGATCACAAAGAGTAATAAATATTCTGTACCAATTCTCCACAG